CTCGGGCACCCGTCATGGCCCATCGGTTGGGTCGTGACAGAGAAGTACTACCCTATTCATGATTTGGAGTTGGCAGCCATCGTTCATGCATTGAAGATTTGGAGGCATTATCTCTATGGTATGTATTGTGAGTTATTTACAGATCATCGGAGTCTCCAACACTTGTTCGAACAAAAGGATCTAAATTTGAGGCAGTGGAGATTGTTGGAGCTCCTAAGGGACTATGATTTTACCATTCTGTATCATCCCGGGAAGGTCAATGTGGTAGCCGGTGCCTTGAGTAGTAAGGCGGTGAGGATGGGTAGCCTTGCATTTATTCCTTTTCGTGAGAGACCGCTTGCAATTGATGTTCAAGCCTTGGCCAACCAGCTCGTGAGATTAGATATTTCGGAGCCAAGTTGGGTTCTAGCTTGTGTGGTTTCTCAGTCTTCCTTATATGATCGCATCAGAGAGCGCCAGTATGATGATCCACATTTGCTTGTCCTTAAAGACATGGTTCAGTATGGTGATTCCCAGAATGTTACTATTTGGGATGATCCGGTGTTGAGGATGTAGGATCGGATTTGTGTGTCTAATATAGATGGGCTACGTGAGTTGATTCTTGAGGAGGCCCACAGTTTGCGGTATTTCATTCATTCGGGTGTCGCAAAGATGTACGAGGAGTTGAGGCAGCAATATTGGTGGAGGAGGATGAAGAATCATATAGTGGGGTTTGTAGCTTGGTGCCTAAATTATCAGCAAGTGAAGTATGAGCATCAAAGACCGGGCGGATTGCTTCAGAGGATTGATATTCCGGAGTGGAAATGGGAGCGTATCACCATGGATTTTATAGTTAGGATCCCACGGACTTCGAGGAAGTTTGATGCTATTTGGGTGATTGTGGATCGGTTGACCAAGTCCTCGCACTTCATTTCAGTGGGGACTACTTATTCTTCAGAGCGGTTCGCTGAGATCTACATTAGCGAGATTGTTCGCCTTCACGATGTGTTGTGCCCATCATTTTATATCGGGGAACGAAGTTTACATCTCTAGTGTGCTGGTGTATATTGGGCCATTTGAGGTGTTTTAGAGGATTGGGGAGGTGGCTTACAAGTTTGCCTTGTCGCCTAGTCTGTCAAATGTTCATCTGGGATTTCATGTTTCTATGCTCTAAAAGTATGTCGGCGATCCGTCTCATGTTTTTGTTTTTAGCACGGTTCAATTGGATGGTGATTTGACTTATGATGTGTAGTCAATAGCCATTTTCGATCGACAGGTTCGAAAGTTAAGGTCAAAAGACATAGCTTCAGTGAAAGTCTAGTGGATAGGTCAGCCAGTTGAGGAGGCTATTTGGGAGACCGAGCGAAAGATACGGAGCAGATATCCATGCCTATTTGAGACTCCAGGTGCGTTTCTAGACCCGTTTGAGGATGAATGTTTGTTTAATGGAGGGAGGATGTAACGATCCGACTAGTTGTTTTGAGTGTTGTAGCCCCGTTCCCCCATTCACTACTCATTTTATGCTTAATTTTTGTTATCTGACTTATCGGGGGTAGTTGATTCGGTTCCTAGGATGTTTCGGAATACGATGAGACACTTAGTTTCAAGGTTGGAAGATCAAGTTGAAAAGGTTGACCAGATGTTGACTTGTATGTAAATGACTTTGGAATAGAGTTTTGATGGTTTCGATTGCCCCGTTGGGTGGATTTGGACTTAGGAGTGTGTCCGGATGGTTTGGAGGTCCGTAATTGATTTAGGCTTGAAATGGCGAAAGTTGGAAATTTAGAAGTTTGACCGAGAGTTGACTTTGTCGTTACCAGGCTCGGATTATGGTTCTTGGAGTTGGAGTAGGTCCGTTGAGTCATTTATGACATGTGTGCAAAATTTGAGGTCAATTAGACTTGATTTGATAGGTTTCGGTATCCATTGTAGAAGTTGGAATTCCTTAGTTTTCATTAGGCTTGAATTGGGATGCAATTCATATTTTTTATGTTGTTTGATGTGATTTGAGGGCTCCACTAAGTTCGTATCATATTTTAGGACTTGTTGGTGTGTTTGGTTGAGGTTCCGGGGGCCTCGGGTGGAGTTCGGATGGTTAACGAATCAAATATCAGAATTTAAAAACTGCTGAAGTGCACAAGGTCCTGTGCGATCGCACCTGCGGAGTTTTAATTGCAGGTGTGAGCTCATCGAAGCGAGCAGGGGATCGCAAAAGCAGCCAGGAAGGAAGTGGGTAGTGGTAGTCGCATGTGCGAGGTTATTTTTCGCACCTGCTGCGGCGCATTGGGAGCAGAAGCGGAGATTGGCCAACTGTGGGAGTTGCGCTAGTGCGAAGGGAAATTCCGCACCTGTGAGTTCATAGATGCGGAGGAAGCATTGCAAAAGCAAAAGGGGTCTTGGTGAGGCAGGTCTGTAGAAGCGGAGGAATTACCGCAGAAGAGGAACCGCATGTGCGGTTAAATGATCCACAGAAGTGAAAGCACTGCGCAGAATGTTAAATTCGAGGGCTTCGTGATTTTTCTCATTTTGGACTTTGCAAAATCGGTCCATGGCGATTTTTGAGAGGATTTCGAAGGGTTTTGATATTTGGCTTAATGCATGCGTATTTTGATGTATATTGCCTCACATTGTGCTCATGTCTCATAGATTTGAGATGCATAATATAATGTTTTGTGCTAATTTGTGGTATTTCTATATGTAGTAATCATTCGGATGCAATTTGGGACGAAAGTGCGCGAATTGAAGCGAAAAATGGGAAGAAAAGGCAAAAGTGTAAATTTGATAGCCACAGAAAGCGTGGGGCGCTGCCTATGGTGCACTTTACAAAACGCGTGAGAAGTTGAGCGCTAGGGACAGCGCCCCACGCTGCCCTAGATGCTCAACGTGCAAACACGTCCTAATTCGACTAAGAATCGGTTATTTCGCTAAGACACCCCCAACTCATATAAAAGCCAACCTAAACCTATTTTGAGGGGGAGGACATGACTTTGAGAGAGAAACAAAAGTACGAAATACTCGGGAGCACTGATTTGATCAATTCTTCCATGTTTCTTCTAGTATTCATTAATTTTATTTTTTAAAAATATTATTTTTGATGATTGTATGAACATGAGTGGCTAAGAACCCTATTGTTCTAAGGTCATGGGTACCACATGAATGTTGATGTTTGAAGTTTACATTGACGAATTTGATTTTATCATATTGGATTATTTATTTAATTATATTTTTAATTATTTTGTTGAGTAGCTAAGAGTGAAATACTATCTACGAATCTAGAGTTGAAATCGAAAGTAGGAATTCTAGATTGCATATAGAATTAAATAGAGCAGGTCCTTGAACCCGGGCATCAGGGAACGGATTCGCAATTAGGATAGAAATATACCTAATTGTCTTGCTTGGTTGAAATATAGGAAGTGTAAATGCATTCTTATTAATCTTAATTCCATAGACATATAGGCATTAAGTTAGCTTGAATAGGCGAGTAAGAACTCGACAAATTCCGATGAGTAATATCAACTCTGTCAATCAATATTCCAGATAAATCAATTAGTAATTTTAAGCGAAGAACGCAACATGATTGTTAGCTAATCTGTGACCCTGGAATATCCTCTCCTACTAATTGTTATCCGAAATTGCTTAAGTGTTGTGGTTGATTTTGATTTATTTCACTACTTGATAGTTTTAGGTAGTAAATTAGTCACTTATATATTTTGTGTGAAATCTCTTGATTCGATAAGTTGTTTGAGTTTGAATCAGTTAAAAGTTAATCATAAGTATTCGAGGGAACGATACTCTACGCACTATTCTATTACTTGACGATCACGTATACTTGCGTGAGTGTATTTGGTCGCAACAGGTTTCTTGAGGTAAGTCACTCGTGATCATTTTTATTCAATAATCTTGTTTCCCCATTGAATTTCACACCTAGTTTTGGGTTTTTGTGGTGGAATTTGGGAGTTTGAGGCTAGGGATTTGGAGAGTTTAATTTGTGGATTTGAGTCGTGTTTTTGTATCAAAATTTGGTAAATTTGGTATGGTTGGACTCGTGGTCGAATGGGCTTCCGAATTTTGCTACTTTTATTGGATTCCGAGACGTGGGCCCAAGGGTTGACTTTTGAGTTGACTTTTTGATTTTTGATTAAGAACTTAGTATTTTCTTTTGGAATTGATTCTTTTAGCTCGTGTTGATTGTATTGAATTTTTTGTGGCAAGATTCGGGGCATTCGGAGGCTGTTTTGCGAGGCAAGGTCTTGTTGGAGTAGAGGTTTGCACAGTTTGAGGTAACACTTCTAAACTTGGTTGTGAGGGTATGAAATCTCGATTTATGTGTTATGTGATTGGTGTTGAGGTGACGCACATGCTAGGTGACGGGTGTGTGGGATTGCACCGTAGTATTGTGATCTAGTCGATTTTATGGAACTATGTAGCTATCTTATCCGGACATTATTAATGTACTCAATATGATAGAGCACTTGAGTTGTAATTTATTCTAGAAAACATGTTTAGGCTGTAAGCTGGTACTATTGGGACCCACAGTGGTCGATCTTTGTTGTTGAGTGGTTTGGTTAATTGTTGTCATCTACTCAGTCGCATTCATCATTGCATATTCTCACTTCGCAGTCTCCGTTACAGTATATAGAGACATTTAGATACTCATGTACTCAGTGACACGCTGGTTTTGGGAAAAACATTTGTATTGAGTTATGATATTCTATCCCGTTTTATGATATTCACTTATTTAAACTTGTTGTAGTATACTTTAAATTTGGATGTGTTGGTAATGTTTGAGCAGTCGGCTTGCCTAGTACCATGATAGGCGCCATTACGAAAGGTTAAGTTTTGGGTCGCGACAGATCCTAAAGACATAGTATAATTTTCTGGTGAAGGGTGTCCAACTAACCCCCGCTCACCGGCCGTAACTTTATCATCCATCTCTTGAGCTAAGATAATATAGAACAGTTTGTAGGAGTAGCAATCTTGATGAAACAATATCATCCATCTCCTGAGCTAAGATAACTCCATCCTGTAACATCAATTCTTATACGTTAGCTGAGAAATACATGTAGATTTTTTAATTGCACTAAAACACTTTATTAGAAAACAACCAGCAGAAAGTACAAATGATGATCAACTGCAGATTCTAAATTCCCTAATCAACAAATTGAGAAACTAATAATACTGATTTCACTTTTATTACAAATTTCCAACTTTGCCAATCCTCAAGTAAATTGGGAAAGACACAGTTTTCTGACTCTCTCCATCTTCATTCCAAACACTTGTGAATTTTTCAACAACATCATCAGTCAAGAGCTCAACACCCTTTTCTTTTGCAGTTTGATAAGCTGACCATGACTTCAAGTATGTGAAATAAGAATTCAAGTCCATCACTTTCTCAATCTTGAACTCAAATGGTCCATTGTGATCACAACCACTTACAGGCTCAAATGGGAAGTCAATAGTTTTATACTTTTCATCCACTAATTTTCTCGGAGATTCCCAATATGGTCCAGCATCAACTGTGTAAAATTTCTCAAAAATTGGATCCACTGAATTGTTTACTTCTGGCACAGTGTAACACCAGGCTGCTATTACTCCATTTGGTTTCTTGAGTAACCATTTCACTTGTTGATAAAAAGTTGGAAGATCAAACCAATGCATTGCTTGAGCAATTGTTACTAAATCTACACTTGACTCTGTTCCTATTTTGGTTTCGATTTCGGCCATTGACATCTTGGGAGAGGTACATATATATTGAACATTAGGGACCTTTACTGCAAATTCAAGCTGCTTTGGACTTGTGTCTGTGGCTATTACATTCTTGTAGAGCTTAGCTAACTGAAAGAAACAATAATTTAAGAGCATTTAGGACAACAAGTAGTTATGCTGGAACACTAAAGGATGCTTATTTTTGAACTCTTTCTTTAGGATATCATAATTTAACAGGGGAAATATATGCTTCTTATTGTAGTATTATGTGCCTGTAACTGTCTAGAAATGTAAAATGGCTGCTAAAGATTAGGTACTCATAATAAAGAACTCTAACAATCTTGTTTCAGTGAAAAGTTAAAAATGCTAGATTTCTTGTTTTCCCA